AACCCTATCCCTATCCCTAACCCTATCCCTAACCCTAACCCTAACCCTAACCCTGTCCTTCAGCAGAAGACTCCTCTCACCCAGATGCACCAAATCCTTCCTGCCGGTGGTCATCAATCTGTACAACGCCTCCCTCTGACAGTCAAACTAAATCATTGACACTTTCCACCTCTCATTTTGACCTACATATACACATATTGTTTTTTATGTACATATCTAGCTATATTATATGAGGAATTTTGTATATACAGGACTGTCTAAGAAAATTAGAATATTGTGATAAAGTTCTTTATTTTCTGTAATGCAATTAAAAATCATGAAATGTCATACATTCTGGATTCATTACAAATCAACTGAAATATCGCAAGCCTTTTATTGTTTTAATATAGCTGATTATAGCGTACAGCGGAAGAAAACTTTTTAAATTGTATTACAGAAAATAAAGAACTTTATCACAATATTCTAATTTTCTGAGACAGTCCTGTATATATGTATATATGTACAGACATGTATATATGTATATGCCTTTGTTTTGCTTATGGAGCCTGTAACAAAAATAATTTCCCTCTGGGATGATTAAAGTATTTCTGATTCTGATCTGATTCTGATTTGGGTTTCCGGGCGGGCTGCAGTTCCCCTGCCGGCCTCTAGGGGCTGGATGAGTAGGGAGGTATTTTTAGCCTTTCCTCAGCCTGGGGGCTGGTATTTTTAGCCTTTCCTCAGCCTGGGGGGCTGGTATTTTTAGCCTGAGCTCTGCTCCTCTGCAGGGACCAGCATCCTCCCACACAACCCGCCCAGAGCTGAGCTAATTCATTAGAAACACTGGTGCAGGTACTCAGAGGCTCTCAGGGGCCTCAGGGAGCTCTCACATTCCTGCTGAACTCAGCGGGAACCGGGATGGAAGGATTCATTTTAGATTCTGTTAAAGTTCATGTTTGTCCTGTGTTCTTTATCTGCACGCCAACAACCAACATCCACAACACTTTGTTACGACACTATACGATCAGGTGAACAGGAAGCTGGCTATTTACGTTAGAGAGGATATAATATTTGGAACCACCCACAGAGACAAAAGAATTGACCTCATTCTTAACAACCTGCTGATCCTCGCTAAATTCTTCATCCACTCCTGTAAATGTGGAAATAGAAATCCTGACTTTTCTGCCTTTAAAAACCTCCTCATGGTCAACCACTTCAGAACCTTAAAACTGTTGAAAAACAAGCAGGGAATACAACTTTTGAACACCTATATTGATCTAAATTTATTTGAGATTTAATGCCCCTTTGTTTTGTCCTTTTCTGTTTATTTTAGTCTACGCTATCACTTTGTTTGATGTCTGATTATTTTAACTTATAATTTTATTTTACTTTCTTTATTTTTATGTATTTTATTTTATTTATTTTTATTTTTTGTGTTATAATTATGTGTGCCATAAGCCTGTAAGACTTGTTTTCTTCTTGCGTGTACATGCCTCGTGGTAGCGTAAACTTGTTCAAATTGTTTAATAAAGTTATATAAAAAAAAATTAAAAAATGTTTACGTTAGAGTTAAATGGCCAATTACAGTTCAGTGCTGTGAAGACCAGTTTTGCATAGTAGGGGGCGGAGCTTAGCCCAATAAGAGATAAACGTACATGAGTGACGTCTATCGGAGCTCTTTGGTGGGATCACCTCCTAAAAAAAGGAATTCTTTCATGACAAAACTAAAAAACTAAGAGTGGCTTTGTTCTGTTTTACTACTTTGACTATATTAGAATAAAATCTGAAACCTAATGCATGTACACATATGCACATTTAATGTAGTAAATATTTGGAAAGTTTAGAGTAACAGTTCAATAAAAATCCCAGTTTTTTACCCCTTTAACAGAATTAGCCAT